TATTTTTTTCTTTTTACAAAAATGAAACTTTTTAATTATTTTATCAATCAATAATGTGGCATAAACAGGAGGAAAATAGCAAACTATGCACTCATCATTATCAATGCTATGCCATCGCACTACATCTTTAAAAAGGTCTCCAAATAATGATGAGAGAATGTGCTCTACTTCTGCAATAGGAATGCATCTCATGGCTATGGAAAGTGTTTCCACTGTTGCATGGCAAGAAAGCACTTTTGGAATGCCCAAGGAAATGTCAGAGGGCTCTTTATTTTTTATACTATCATTGAACTCAACAAGCTCTGACTTAGTGGTGCAATCCAACTCTTCCAATAGCTCTTCAAGTAGAGTTGTATTAAATAGTGTAGTTTCTCTTTTTACTACTACCATGCAATCATTAGTGGATGAAAGCATAATGCAGTAGCGTTGCCTTAGAACTGATATCAGCTTTGCAAGGTATGTTTCTGAGCTATCTACTTTTTTTCTTATCTCGTCTATGCTATTTCCAATAACTAAAATATAGAGCAATCAAATAGGGATGCAAAATTGCAAATTTTTTTGATACCTTCACACAACTCAATATAGTTAGCACGACATTGTTCAAAAGCAGCATCTAAAAAGATTATATGTCTATAATAGAAAGTCATTTAAAATAACTTACCACAATCTTTTAAAATGTCATTACCAAGATCATCATTTCCAGTATTTTTGCAAATCTGAGCAAATATCACAAGTCTTTTGTGATCTTTGCTAATGGCGAGCTCAACTTTAATCAAAAGCAATTGAAGACGGCTTTCAGATTGTAGCGTATCACTTAATATTTCTGCAACAACTTCATCATTAAATATTTTTTCTGCATGAAGCAGTCGAGTTATATCACGAGGTTGATTGAGGAACTGTAGTTGTCCTTTACGGAATTTAAAAATGTTAGTAGCATGTTTCTCATTAGTTGCATCAGGATAACGTGAACTATCATACGTACCACAAGTTTCTATTAAGATGAAATGCAGTTAATCAAGTTGTAATTTATGTGTATAAGACACTAATTACAAAAATGGAACGTTATTAAGGAACTAACTCCCAAATCATAAAATTAGCTCATAAAATTAGCATATAACCTTTGCAGTAGATTTTTAAATATACAAAAAATTTACATACAATGAGGGGGTATGCCTGAAAATGTAAAAATAAAGTGATCACTTTGCCAATAACCACTGACAAAGTAAGCATAGTATTAATTCTTGCTTCATGCCTAAACGTGGTGAAAACCCTAATATACCATGCATTAAAGTATACTTTAATGCATGAGATATTACAGGCCCTCACTACTTGTAGGCATATAGGAACCTGGGATGCAGGGGTGCAACTGCACCCCTAATAATTGGGTAATTAGATCCACAGCACTTAATTTTGAGGATGATGCAACTATTAGTGCAACAACAATCGGTTCAGAATGCAGATTGATAAAAACAACCTTTGAATTTATTAACCATTGTATAGTTGTTGATAAATGCAGGTGTACTC